ATGTCGTCAGATATTCGCACCAAATATGCTGCACACTGGTGCGTCGTAGTAAATTAAGACGATAAGACAGCTTCAATGATCTTATTGGTTTTACGGTCAGATTCTGACTTCAGTGGCAACGTCGCACCTACTTGCATGGAATTGGCAGTGTTTAAATTTGGTTCATCTTTACTTCAATGCAGAAGTCATGGTGCTGCATTTATGTTTTGAGGTATTTTTATGAATGAAAAAATCTGCGATTAATTAGTCACGGAGGTTTTTCAGAGCAGTAAAAATAACTTGCAGTTTGAGAAGTCTCTTATGTGTTTTAGTCTGATCATATTTGGAGGTCAACGTAAGAGGAATAGAGGCTTATGTATCCATCTTTATTCCATCCATGGTTTTAGAATGAATGGTGCATGAAGCGCCGCCTGTGGCTACCACTATCTCTTGTTCGGGTTAAGCCTTTGTAGGTTAATCAAGCACTACGTCCCTTCTGATCGTATAAATTGCTCTCAACCAAACTTTAATAATCCAATATATACTTTTACACCGGTTAGATTTCAGTGGTTGTTTTTAAGGATGAGACATCAGATAAGTTTTACTGTAGGGATTCGGCCATTCCTAAACAGCAATCGTTTCGATGCATTTATGGTCATGCACATGCAGTTCGTTTTATAGCCCTGGCGAATGCAGTCTAAGTGTGTCTTAGGTTCTTATTCCACTTGTAGAAGTGAACATCGGAAACAGACATTTCAAGAGAAAATTTTTGACACATTCATAGTTGTTAATTCAAAAGTTCAACAATGGAAAAACGAGCAACAGTGATAGATTATTTTCAGAAGATCCGTCTACAAAAGCTCAGATAACTAAAACAATTTTTTGTCGATAAACGCCTTCCGTTCCTTGAATGTTATTTTTGACTATAGACTATTGAGAGAATGATTTCGTTGATGTCTGTCATGTTTGTCGCATTTTCACATCTCCTCTTTCACATTTCCCACTTAGATCGTCGTTTACGATTTCCTCTGACGACGAGACCATTTGACTGATTTTCGAGGAACACGAGCCAGTTTACGTTTAGAGCCACTTAGCTTGCGGTGATAGGTAGGGAAACACGAACTGTTGTGGAAAAGAACTGGCGTCCTACTGAGTGTTGAAATTTCCCAAAGTGAAAATCTGGCGCCATACCAATAAGTCTGAACTGTGGCTGTTAGGTATAGAACAACGTTTTTGCTTTTATTTATTGCCTATTCTTTTAGTACAGTATAATGTGAAGTACAGCAAGGATACCGAGGTATGAGCAAAACTGGGAGCCTCAGGTGAGCTTCGGAACTATAGAACATTGGAATCATTCAAATATTCTTGAAATCGGAATGAGTGGATACACCACGGCCGGTAAAATTATGATCGTCGACTTATTGTAGATTGCTAGCTGATAATACACCGACCTCTGCACGATGTGCGCAATGATGTATGTCCGGAAGAAATACAAGTTGTTACCACCGGACATTGTCATTATATATCCACCATCAGCATCGTGTATAAAACGGCATCACTGAGTGAGGATGCCTCATTCGAGAAGATGGCTCACTGAGGAAGATCTGGCTCGACACGAAGGCGAAGACGCAACGTCGAGGCGAACAACAAGCATGGACCATCGACTCGGATCACCGGCTCTGAGGAAGACGAAGACGTCGAAACGTTAGCCGAAAATAAATATATTTATCAACCTCGTGCAAGCTTATCAAGAAAGAATACTTATTGTAGATTCCCCAAGCGATTTTTGTTGGTTCCAGCTATTCGTGTGCATTAGACCTATTGTATTCGACAAACTGAGTCTCTGCTATACTACGTGCGTGCGCACTTTTTCCTAAACACATTGGTTTTCGAATGGAAACGTTGTTGAACTCCGACGGATGTTTTTCCTCGTTTACTTCTTTGTTCGCATGAAATATGAAATACTAGGTATAAAGGAGAGAAACAAACACTTCAGCAGACGACACCGACATGTTTGATCGTCTACTTAGCGAATTTTCGCTGCGCACACAGATAATGGGTACACTTGTGGCTTTAGGAATCTGCGATACAAATGATCAGGATCGCCTCCTCATAGGGAGTTGTACTTCCTGAAATGCCGTATTTGGCCATCGGAATTCGAAAACAAGGGGAAGGCAATAGTACTGTATTTCAAGTGATCTTAACCAACCTTAGTGATATGGTCAGCGCCTTAGGTCGATGCTGTCCTGTTGTGGTGAGATTAATTTCGTCCAGTTTCTTGTTTTTGATGCAATGGAGTTCTTCCTAACTCGTCCACCTTATGCGGCGCGTTGCAGAAGTTGTCTGACTGGTCGGCGACTGTCATCCACCGGCACCACAAACACTTCTACCCTCTGTGCTTCATGTTCATGTTCGACACAACTACACCTGGGAGTTCATGACGCTTTCGTTATGCTTCGTGTCGAGTAGCCGGTGTCACCCGATAAGAGCGCCAAAGGAACAAATAAACAAAATTCGTTCGTGCTCGAATTGAAAATCTGACTGCTAGTCAGTACACGACGTTTGTCCTTTACTTGCGATGTGTATTTGCCTCTTGACATATTACAGTCGACATCTAAAAAGACAGTGTTGTGGTGTTGAGTAATATGGATTAGTAAAAAGTAATTATGAGAGGCGGTTTGATTTGAAGTTTGACGGTTTCTGCTAATGATATTCGTCTTTATTGATCGTCATTCCCATTATATGAGGTTCTTTCAGAATTAACGGCAGTTTTTAACCAATCTATCATTAACTTACCATCTCTAATAACAATATAGTTTATTAGTTAAAGTAAAGGCGTGTGTGGTGTAGTGGTCGGAGGCGCTCTGCAATACACACGTGGAATCGATCTCGGCGCCCATGGTCTACCAAGCCTTCCATCCCTTCGGGGTCGGTAAATTGGTACCAGACTTGTCTGAGAGCATATCAGCACTGGCTGGATACATCGGTAGGCCACCGTGAGTAATTGCAAAGGCCAGAATGCATTCAATCACCTCCAAATGATGCTTAATGAAGTCGAATGCATGGCGCATCCCTCAGGGATTGGTCAACGCCGAGAGCTTTTTTATTCTTTTATTAGTTAAAATTAAACCGCTAAGATGTACGATTTTCTCACAACGACTTTCCTTTGGTCTTTGCCTTTTTATTCCTTTTACAAGTTCAATTATTCTGCAATATCTTTCTTGTCTACAATTGCCTTGCTCCTGAGGTCTACGAATCTTCAGAAGAAACGTTGAACAAAAGCTTAGCTTTCCCAAATAAGGCTTTTCAACGAATGAGGTGCCAAAGTCTTGGGAAAACTGCTAGCCGTTCAGATAAGTTGAACAGACAAAGTAGAACTTTCGCTCAGCTCACTGAAACCAGGATAATGCTGCTTATGCAATCTATGAAGATTCTTAGAAGATTAGTCTTTTACGGCTTGCAGCCTTCAATAGTTCTTTCAGTCGTTTCGTTCTAGTGCTATCGTCATTTACTGATATTGTCGAGTTTTGGAGTGGATTCATCTTTTTTTCACCTGATAGAAATATGAAATGTTAGTGTAAGGTATTCCTCCTTAGATTTTGAGAAGGTGGCGGTATGGCATCGCCAGGTCTTCAGTCGCCGGGTCTGCAGCACTAACAATCGCCGTCCTATCTCAGCGTTACAATTTTCATTTTTGTTCCGTGGAATTTAGAGATGATCACAATAACGGCTTTAGTTATGCAATACAGAGTCTTCTAACCTGGTGGATTGTTGAAAGGTGTTCTGTCGTACGCCTCGGCCCCTTTCAGAGTGGCAGTAACTCCTACAACATGTGGACCGAGCGATCAAGGATCATGTAACATTTGTTAAATTTTTATGACAAATTTTGGGACTGCCACACCACCTTTCCATTGAGCTCCTTTTTTTTGCTTCCCAGTTGCCCCCGTATGTGCATTCTCAGCAGATATTACAGCAGAAGAACTGCAAATCAACATTTCTTATCTATGTTGAACGTGAAACGGAAAGTATCCGGGGCGAAAAAGAGTTCCATCTCACATGAATTTCAAATCGCATAAGTGCGCTAAGTGAGCTGAATCTTTCGCTTAGCCCATTTTTTCCTTTGCAGCTGCAAATAAGTGAAACCAAACCGAATTATGGTTTTTTTAAATGGTTTGCTTTGAAACCGGGGCTAATAGTCAAGCAAAAACCTTCGTTAAGCGAACATTTGTGGGAAGAAATGTAGAAATGTGGAGAAGAAACTGTCAAGTTTAACAATCTGAAAAGCTTGCCATTTATTATTCAACTCTATGCACCACTACTCACGGTTATACACGTCCTGCGTGGACTTTTAAAAATATGGTTCGAGGTATTTTTGCCTTGAATCAATTCAGTGCTTCTCATCACACTGTGACTGAAATGAAGCGAAGCGCGCAACCTATAGACAGGTGTATTGGTTCAATGGCCATGGCCAGTCTCCTCTCCACATCGCCGTTGCTCTTCAGTTTCTCCTCCCTTTTCCACACTAGTCACACTTCACCTCATCTTCTTTGTTGCCAGTCGGTTTGCTTCACCCAATTGTTCTACAAGGTTCCATCTTCCCCTTATCACACAGCTGATATGACGTCGTCCAAAGTGAATGCCGATCGTCTGCCCTCGTATGTGCCAGTGGGCCGACCGGCCCGCCTGGCCAGCCTGACGATCCTCGTCGGTGGGCGTGGTCGGTTCGGCACACTACGGCGCTCGGCTCGCGACAGTCGTCCGTTACTGGGAGTCTCACACCGGAAACCCAGAATACAAATTGACCGAAGCTCTTTTTCATGGGTTTTTCCGTTCCTACACATATTTTGTGGTTATTCTTAATCAGATCATTGCTAATAAGCTGTTGTTTAGACAGTTTAAGAAAGGAAATCTCTATTTAGCTTCTCAATTCGTTGCTAGTTTTTCGTTGTAAATGGCTCCTGTCGTACTAACGGAACGGAAGACACCACTGACAGAGCGAATTAATCGAATATTTTACAGTTATGGACACAGAAAGTCCGTTACGACGTAGTCTACGTCGAATTAATCCGTTCCAGAATAGGTTTTTTCGATTACCGGCGACCCCACGACTGGCCAGGAATCGCAAAGGTGGGTGTCGTACTGATTTTGAGTTTTTCTTTCGCGATCCACAATTATTGTTTTCGTTTCCAATACTGTTGTCGATTTTTTTTCACATCCCTATAGATCTCTGTCACCTTCACTCGTTATCTCCTCTTCCATGTTTTCCATATGTATTGATTGATGGCTAAAGAAAGATCAGTATGCAGTGGTTTCCATTTATGCGATTGCGAAAGAAACTGTTCGGGAATTCAAATGAATTCGACATCGTACAAACGTATGCAATAGTAAGAGTTTTCCCAATTTTATAGAATATTTACCTTCTTCATAGTTAAAATAATTCTTCATGATTTCAAAACCGACATTCGTTTAACCTCGGTATGACTAATCAATATATATCGTTTCTTTGATAAGCTTTCACGACATTGATATATGCTGTAACTGTAGACCATGACTGTGGACCATCGACTCAGATCATCGGCTCTGATGAAGACGAGACCGTTGAAACGCTAGCCAAATTAAGATCATGTATCAACCTTGTGTAAGCTTATCAAAGAAACAGTACATAAGTTTTCATGCATAAAAAAGGAATGGAGGAAAGATTTCTGTTTTCTCTTCCATTTTCATAACTGCTTACTAGATTTCCATTATAGCCGTTCACACTTCCGTTCTAAACTAGAGCTGGAGAGCCAAGTTTTGCCTGAATCTCACCTTTTTTAAACATTTACATCTAGTGCTATCGATATTGTTTTTGAAGCTTTTCACTCTGTCCAATCTTTCATCCAAGATGAAAAAACGTCATTAGAAGTCCGTTCATTAGATTTGCATCGGAGAAGTTCTGTTGTGCTCTGGCATTGCTCTGCTTACTTTTTCTCTCTGACCATCTGCGTCTTCTCCTCTCTTGTCCCTCGTTTTATCGTCGCTGGGAATTCCGTTAATAGAGGTGTGCCCTTGTGAGGGCCTATTCGTTCTGGTTGATCCTCATGCATCGTTGAATCCATCACTAACGGTAAATGAGAAACTAACGAAAATGAGGAATCGGAGAACGGAATTGCCTGGAAAGAATAATGGCCGATTTTATCGGAAGATTTGAAATTTTGCCGAACATCGAGTCAGGTGTCATTATCATTCGATACTCTGATATCAGGACTTTATCCATTCGTTTCATCCTTTATATGCTCCTGCAATATCGTCGTCAATTGGAAGTGATCACGTTCGTCCGGGAGTTCGTCTGCTTCTTGATCGTCAGTCACTCATCTTTTTTATTAGCATTTGAATGCCTATTGCCCGCGATTTTCTCTAGAATCCTGCAAAATTGGTGCCAAAGCTCCCTCATGTGTTTAAGTCTCTCGTAATTGTCGGTCTTTCGAGCTCGAGTTGGGGATTATTCTAGATAACAGAGAATCTTGCGATTCGTCTACCGGACTCTGCTGATCGAGAATGACCGAATCCTTGGGGAAACTCTTACATTGACTAATGAGATAGTACTAACTGTTCGATACTGGCAATGGTGTATTTAAGTGGTGATGGGCGTCCTTCTTTCTTTCTTTCTTTCCTTCTTTTTTCTTTTTTTTTGCAGACGAAGTGTTTTCCCGTCAAAATGTGGTGGCGTATCGAAATTCGTCAAACGAAGGCTTAAAAAGGGTCTCCTATTACGGTCCTCAGCTGTTTGGTATACGTTGGGAAACTACTAATAATGTTTTACCATACCTCTTTAATTTTATTATCTCATGTGTAAAACAAAGGAAATCAGATTAAAAATTTCAGGTTGTAATCGAGTTTTTTCTCACTTTCTTCAAGAGGAAATAGATATTCGATCTCATACTGAAACTGGAGCAAACTGGAGATGTCTAGCTTTACGAAAGGAAGTTAAGAGATTTCCTCCTTTGGGAAAACACTTCCAATCTAGTTTAAATCCGTATTTTCGTTGTACTGTACCCATGTCTCCACCGATTTTAGGGAATCAATGCCGAGGAAATCCATAAGAAATTCAATTGAGTCTGCCTTGTTCGTTTTTATTGGTCTTTAGACTTTATCGAATCTTCTCATACAGTATATTCCTTAATTGCAACGATGCTGTGATATTTCCAAAACTTGTACTCCGAGCCAGGTAGAACCACGTTTTTGCTTTCCGAGGGCTCGCGCATTACGCGCTGCGCCATGGAGACTATTGCAATGGTGCTAGTTTCCTATCTATCAGTGCCATCAGCAGTCACCCGTCAACGGGATTGATCTGGAGAGCCCACATCGGCATTGAACCCAGTTAAGTTGAGGCTGCAGTCAAAATCACAATGTTTACTTTTTTATTTACTGCCTACTACAATCTTTACTGCAGAGTATTATGCGAAATCCTTCAATTGGTTGGACTTTTGCCAAAGAGACTATTCCTTTGAAGAACTCTATTTATTCCGTTGTTTCTAAGATGGGTGCAGCAATCACCCGTCAGTGGGATTGATCTGGGACGCCCAAATCGGCATAGAACCCAGTTAAGCTGCGGCTGTAGTTGAAATCACAATGTTATACCTTTTTATTTTCTGCCTACTATAATTTCGCGGCAGGGTACTAAGCGAAATACAACCGCAACGTTGCTGAGATATTTGCAAAACTCTGGACCGCAGGTGTCTATGGTGGGGAACGAACGCGCTATTGTCCTTTCCGGGGAGTAACGCGTTCACCACCACACCATGCGGGTCCTTCGTTTCGCTTGTCTCTCAGGCTAGTTCTCACGGGTGATGGCTGACGGCACAAATCGATAGAACTAGCTGAGAGACAGGCGAAGCAAAGGACCCGCCTGGTGTGGTGGTGAACGCGTTACTCCCCAGAAAGGACAAGAGCGTTCGTTCCCCACCGCAGACAGGACCATAAAATTAAAACCTCACCACTTTACTACAGTCGGTTCTTTTCTTTCTTTCTTTTTGGTGGTCCTGTCATTTTAGGACGATTTTCAGCAGTTATCGCTATTTCACTAATGGGTATTTTCATGGAATAGCTCCGATAGAAAAACATCTGGCGCTTTACATCATGTTTTTGTTTTCATGTCAATAAAATTCACAATCGTCCTTCTTTTTCGTTGCCAAGTATCTGCAATATGATGAAATTGTTACCATGATATCCACTCATATGGTAATGGACCAAATGGGCCCAACCTCTTCGAATCTGGCGTAGATCATAATGAAAAATGGATGCGAAATTCTGCCGCTGCGGTAGATTCTCGACATCCCGCGATATCGATTCCTGTTGTAGGAGTGGTTTTTCGACAACAGTCTCGATTTTGATGGCTGTTTGTCTCAGATGACATCACTTATGTGGTCCAACTACTTTTCTGTACTCTTGGACTGTCGCCGTTTTAAGAAACGAAATATTTCTGAGACATTTCAAGTAGTCCGTTCGTCGTGTTCGTACGGATACTGGAGCTTCTTCTACTCATTTTTGTTATTTAAAGGAGAAAGAACAAAGTTTGCAGAACTCCAGTCCGCAGGTGTTTGCAGTGTGTGTCGAACCCACTATTATCCTTTCGGAGGCCAACGCGTTCGCCACCACACCAAGTGGGTTCTTCGTTGAGATTCTCTCAGCTAGTTTTTTATCTACCAGTGCCATCAGCAATTATCGTGTTCGATCCTCACCGCGGACACCTGCGGTCCAGAGTTTTACAAATGTCTCAGCACCATTGTGGTTGTATTTCTCATAATATCCTGCCGTGAAAAATTGTAGTAGGCAGTGAATAAAAAGTTAACAAAGAAGAAAGTGTTCAGTGTTGATCAGTCTTTTGGGGAACCGCAATGCGCCAAACTCCGTTCGTTGTTCATTGTTCGTCGGATGAATATTTGACCTGTGCAACAATTTGCGGTGATCTATCAATGACTCAAGTCAGAGTTTTCGTCCTTAGAGACAAGTCCAGTATTAATTTCCCAAATTCAGAGGCATGTAAACTTGCTGTACTCAAGTGGGATCGAGCCAGGGATCGCGTGTCAGCTATAGTGAACCTCTGTTCGCTGTGCTACGTTGGAACCATTTTTATATTTGATAAAATCCAGTAACTAAAACAAACCATTAATATTTTTGCCATCATGGTGCTAGTATATTTGTTCCACCACAATAAAATCCTGGGTTTTTGTTGGAGTCCATGAAACTTCTGAAGACATTTTCAGCAACGGTTTTCTCCTCAAAGTCTTGTTTAGTAATTAATCGCTGAAGCACTTAACAAAGTAATATTTGGTTGCCCAGAGACGCTTAACTTTGCTGGAAGATTGGTGTCCTGACTCTGTTACTGCATTTCTGTCTAGTTCCTAGCCTGCAGGCGCTCATCGTCGATATCAGCAGCTCATCTAAGGCCCATAACATAAAGTCGTCTTTCCTATGAGTGTTTTTAAGTGAACAAAGTGTCGTATGTTCGTTTAAAATTGTTTGGAATTGCTCGTTTCTTTGTCTTCTTGACTTTAGTGAACCGAGTTAAACACCCTCCCAACGGTCTACCGCCTCATTGTAGCTGGGAGGTCTTCCCGAGTGTTGGACTGCGATGTACAGCGGGGAATTCGTCCCTCGGCAAGGTCTCCTAAGCTGAGAAGGAGTCCGGCGTTTCCATCAGGAAGCCTAGTTAAAACTAAACCAATACCAGGATCCACCACCGTCCTGGTATCAAAGTCGCATAGTGGCAAATCTACCCCCGATCCGCAAGGGCTGCGACTACCTGTGGTGGTGACGACCTGGGCGGACTTTGGCCAGGCTCTCCTCAGGATTCCATGGAACCACAATGGCTTAACCAGCAAATCTCTGAAAAATGGTGATTGTGCTGGGCCTGCACAACTAATGAGGACGGGCCGTTCATATATCATGTATGAATGTATGAGTTAAACACATCTTGACATTAAAGAAGGTGTTGGATAAAATCTTCAGCTTGAAACACTATTTAGTCTAACATAAAGCGTAAAACGTTGCTCAGTGATCGAGGCGTGAGAGTTTCAGAAACAAACACTTGATCTCCCGGTACGGCCCAAATACTAAATACATACATGCTCAACATACATGCTCATACATGTTTGCTCAACAAAAATACGAAGAAAGTTACTAAATACATAGATTAAAGTAATTAAAAGGCGTCCGGAGGGCACAAAATTGCTTAAGGAGCACGGTTTCTGCAATATCTCTGTCCTACATAGACATTTTTGTTGACTTTTTTCGCTTGGATCGAGCTAGAGCTTCTGTGTGTTCAATCTTGATAAGCTTGGATTTTCCACTAAACTGTACACTCTTTGCGAGAATTATTTTCACTACCTTTCTTCTAGCTTCAGTGATAGATTACGGTAGTTTTCAGTTGGAAACGGCGAAGATGTGACGACGGAGTGGAATTTCGAGCGAACGGCGTCTCGACGAGTTGACGAGCGACTGAACGGCTTCACCTCGTCCGTCGCCACCACCACCACCTCGACGCCGGTGCTTCAACGTTCAACAAACGTGAGAGTCATTCAATTCTGAAAGTTATACCAGTTTTCAAAGCCCTTTTTATTATCGCATGATCTTCTTTGGCTCTTTCATTGAGGTAGAAACCGGGTAGTCGGCGTTCATTGCATTTTAGACATAACAAAAGGGAACTCCCTAAATTGTTCTTGCAACCTCAATCCGTCCCAATAGAGGCGTCTGTCTACAAAACTGGAAGGTTGAATTTTTCCGCTATTTTTTCACGTCCTGACTGTCAGGCTTAAAAGGAAGAAAATCCTGCAGATTGTTTGAAGTGTTCCGACAGTTCTCATTGATTTCCTTCAAACGACGATCATTCAACATCTTCAGGATGAATTTCGTTTGGCTTTCATCTTTTCTTTATTCTTACTCGTTTTTATTTCTTCAGTATCAACTGGATTTAAAGTGGTCGTCTACGCAAACCTTTTCCAATTCACGTTTCTTCTTCTAAGAACTGGAAATCGTTGAAATTGGACGAAATTATGTCTTCTTAAAAAATTCAATAAAGAATAACGTAATAGGTTTCTTCAACTGGATCACCAAAAACTTTTGTTGAACTATCGCTATTCATGTTCTGCAATTGATGAGACCCACTTGGTTCAGGTCTATTTTATATTAAAGTAAACCTTTTTTCCTATAAAGAAGTAAATAATTCAGTAGGTTCTCTGCTCTTCAATTGGTCAGAAACCATTTTTAGCTATCGGTTTTGAGATTGCAGTTCGTCTTTCGTTTCCTTATTGTCTATTGACCAACATCTTTTGTTGTTCGATGAACCAAACTTTATCCATTTAAAGCGGTTCGTCTCCTTGTAGAAAAATCACTATCCTATGGGCTCGTAGTAATTTTTACTGAATGGTTTTTCATTGTAAAGACATCGTCCTCGTTTAATGACTTTTATTGAGTCGGTGTCGTTCTGGCTCACTTGCTGGCTGGCCGCCTGTCTTCCTCTTCTTTACACTCGACGAAAAAGAACCCACACTCTTGCCGCAACCTCCCAAGGGTAAACAGCATATAAGTGATAGTGCGGTTTCCGTGTCATCTTTGTCAATAAGTGTTAGACCAAGAAATCAGTTGAAATATTACCGCAGCTGTTGCATTCTTCAATGATTTGGCCACAAACACCATTTATGGGGCATGAATGCCCAGAAATGGTAGATAACCTAAGCCTTACTGTAGCCAATCTATATCGTAGTACAGAGGTTCTACTTCGTTTTGCAGTTTCAATGGTGAATATAGCCGCCGCCCCTGGCCGAATTTCATTCCCTACCTACGTCATTTCGATAAAGGGCAAAGTTTTTTTGTATCAGTCTGGAAAGAAGAACAGAATTTGTCATAAATTAGGCCACGTATACCTCTTATGTGTTTTGTCTTTGACTACTTTCATTCACTTTGGTTCGTCATACCATAAGAAACATACATATTGATGGAAAATAAATTAGGCAAAAATTGAGTTAAACACAACGAAAGTTCAAAAACTGGAAGTGTGGATGGTTGTATTTAAATTCTTACTTAAGAATTTTGAGGAGTTGAAAATATCGAGAGACTTTTCCTTCCGAAAGAAACGTGTCCACCTCTTTGCTGACCTGTTTTAGACTAATTGGTTGTGAGTATTGAACCGGAAAACTCGTCCAGTAATGGGAACTGTTCATTGTTCTTTGCAATATTAGTATTAAAAGATAGATCTCTCTCCATCTATATATTTTTGGGTATTCTATTTTTGGTTGGCATTTGTAAGAAACAAATGTTCGACGTTAGTCAAACTCATTCAGAACAGATTAATGTTGACTGTTACAGTGATATCCGGGCACTTTGACGATAAACATGACAGTATATCGTCTTTCACCGGCGAATTTTCAAACAGTTAAGCTACCGTGTTCAGAGAAGCAGATTAACTAGCATCAGGGCGGTGGTGGTGCAGGTGGTGGATATGGTGCTTGTGGTTGGACCATTTCGACCGTCATCTACACAAGAGTGTGTTGATATCACTGTGTTGAGCTGTACTCACCTTAAATCATGGATTCAGTCCACATTGTAAATCATAATATAGGATTTGCATTTTATAGTTATAACACATAAGAACACTTATAACACATAAAAATATGAATGCTGTTCGGTTTTTCATCAAACTTCCTGCTTAGTGCAGTTGTCGTTGTTGTCATAGGTGCACTTCTCGACGGTGAGAGAATGCGACACTAATACGGGAGCGTAGAGATGAGTTGTAATTTAGTGAACGGGAATGCTTTAGAGTGTCCTTAGTTAAAGAGGTTGCCTGGGAAAACGGCGCTGACCTCAAGTGGTGGGCGCACAGTCACGCATCGCTCGATCGAAGTTGGTGGTAGTCAATTATGACGTGAACATAACGAGGACAGAACGTTGCGAATATTTTGAAGAAGTGAAGGTCTATGAGTATTGTATACGGATCGATCGATTTAAGGAGATGTCATTGTCATGGCATTCATGCCCAAGATTCGAGGCAAGAGAATGCTTAAGTCTTATCAACAGCATCTCGTCCTCCGATTATCCGACTATTGGAATAGCAGAGGAATAGAACCACAGATCTCTTTTTTCACCGTACTCGTGTGATATCGAACCAGTTAACCCTGAAGCCATATAGCGCGTTCACATGCGTCTCACAAAACGAACCAACAGTAACAATCTAGGTGTTCTGTGATGTAGGTGAATTCAGAAGGTGCCTTTGTCTTCTGTACCGTGGTAGATTAGCCTTAATTACACTCATTCATTCGTGAATATATTTGCAGCTACGTGGATCCAACTTTTTCAACCGCCCAAAAAGTGGGAACTACATGTTAGGCTATGATACACGTATACTCTGGATCGTCTTAAGTACCCATAAATAATCGCCATGTCGACTTTGGAAATGCCCAACAATTTACAAGGTAAACGAACCATTACAATCCGTTCGTTGACTCCCGTCACCAAAAAAAGTGAAAATAAACGGTATTTTATGAAAAGTGAGATGTCTTTTGTATTCTTCGGGCACACAGAATCCATTAGCCAGCATTGGCTCACGAAAGGAACGAATAAATTAGATTGCCGCTGTCTAGGTGTTATATTTATGTTTTCAAGGAAAATGAAGTAACTGCTAACGATGCGATACCGTTTTCTCATAACGCGAAGCCATTCTTGATTTTCAACAATTTAGGATGATGCTCTCATTATAGGACTTTCTACTGTTATAGCTATTTCTTTTGTGTTTCTATTTGTTTTTATCTTCTTAGCCCACTTTATCTCTTGAGTACTAGAGCTGGATAGGGGTGAGACAGCACTTATCGCTCTGACACTGCTCGAGAGCTTCGTGTTACCCCGTTCCAGGACTCGTTACATCTGCGAAGACTCGACTTTCCAGTGTAACACCCACCTAGGGAGTGACAAACTCGACCAGCAACATGATTAGTAATATCTGGAAGAGATGTGCATCTAACGTAATCCATTTTATTGACCGTTTAACTCTAACAAATTCCTAATTCGAGGAGCGCCAAAAGTTGATTTTCGGTTAGCTAACTTTACGGTATTCTGGTGGCGGTGCAAAAGCGAATACGCTAAGAACAGGTTAAAATTACTTATGAAAGATGAATTTCATGAAAGCATTCATGAAACTCTTAGCGATATAACTCAGACAAATATTTATGAAACGAAGCGTTATTCGTATTAGTAGTCTACAAACGAATTGTTTAGCGGCGAATGCGAACCACTGACATTACTTTAAAGGTCGTACTAGGTGAGGTCGATATCATCAACATGTTAGCAGCACTTGTTTTCAGTCAGATGAAGCTATTTTTGCTGATTTTCAGTGAACGAATTCATGAATATTGCGTTGTGGATTTTTGCACTTCGATTTTTTTGTGCTATTACCGTACGCTATATGTAGAGCTAAACCTTCCATACGGGGAGTACGTTTTATGTCAGTAATGAGAAGAAAGGGCAACAAAACGAAAAAGAATCGTCAACGTTCTGATTTATGACTCGTGAGGGTTTGATTTTTCATTGTTGATCGTTTTTGTCTCATCGATCAACATTGATTGTGAACACCTGCCAAGAAAAACCACTCGCTGTTGTGATAAAATAAAAGGATAAAGCTCTCGGCGTCAAGTAATCCCTGAGAGATGTGCCATGCATCTGGATCTGGTTTCATAAAGCATGGTTAGAGGTGAATGAGTGCATACCTGGCCTGTAAAATGGTTGGCGGTAACTTACCGATGTACCAAGTCGGTACTATTATCTTGTTAAACTTCTCTGCGATCAATTTGCTGATTCCGTAGGGACCGAAGGCTTCGCGGGGTCGGGGCCCGAGATCGAACCAAGGATCACATGTTTGTAGTGCAGAGTATCTCTAGCCATTGCACTACACCCTCCCATTACTATCATAACATATCGACTAATATTAAGTAATGACCGCATGGTAGTGAAAACAATGAATGATTAATTATCACGGTTGATCATCCTTCCTTGAAGTCGCCGTGACTAGAAATCATAGAGAGTTTTCCACAGAAAAATACATCGACGCTGTTGAATTGGAGATTTCGTCTACTGCGGTTTTATTTTTTACCAGCTTCATTGCTCTTCAAAAGTCTCATATTCGTCGGCCATCGACCATTAACAACAACAACAACAACAACAACGACAGCTTATATCAACCTCGCATTAGCTCAACAAGATCTCTTGATATTTGATACTTGATACTTGAGTGACCCTCACTGCTTGTGCGAGCTCCAGAATAATCTCCGTTTTTCGGAGATTTGCTCGTTAAGTAAATCTAGTTCTCTGGAATTCCAAGGTTAGCCTGGCCAAAGTCTACCGCAGGTCTTCATCACCACAACCAGTCGCAGCTCTTGTGGATCAGATGGAGATTTGCCACCATGCGGCTTTTATACTAGGACGGTAGTGGGTCCTGGTATTGGCTTACTCTTAGCTAGGCTTCCTGATGGAAACGCCGGTCTTCTTGTCAGCTTGGGAGACCCTGCCAGGGGATGAATGCCCGCGCTGTACATCGCAGTCTG